TCTACATATACGGCTATGCCATAGCGGACCCCACTGGCGCCGCGCATGCACGATGGAGTGTGGACAAGAAGTTCGCCGTCGCCCATAAAACAAACCATTGAAATGCGATGCTGTCGGCGTCGGTGTCAGTCCCCGTGCTCTTTTTCGCGTCGGAACTGTTGATTCTGTGTCTTCCTGGCAATGCTTAATTACTTGAGCGGCCTCGGTGAAATTACCGAGGCTCCTTACACCACAAAACTTAGCGTGAATAATCTGACATACGGCGATTCATTTTGCGTGGACGCCGCAGTATGAACGCTAAAGTATAATTCGCATGGCGAGATTTCGCTCGCAATTTTCAGTCACGACGGCGCTCGGACTGCAAAAGCGTGAATCGTAGCTGAGATGGTCGACATCGATATTGAAAATTGCAAGCAGAATCAAATTAAGTGAATCAGGCATAACAAGTCAGTGATCGCCACTGGTAACAATGATCAACATCTCCTTGTATCTACTGTTTACGCCAAGCCCGCTTACTCCAACGAACTTTCAAACTTAAATGTCTTTTGGGGCCTGCTCTTACTTCTTATCGCAATTACCGAGCCAGCGCTTCGTGTACGAGCCGGCGTCGTCTGAAAGAGCAGACGACAAGCAGAAACGTTTGATGAGCAGACGGCAGGTTGAACGATCAGGCGGTCGTTTGAACTTGAAGACGCACTGAACGTATTCCGCAGGTGGGCCGTACACCTCCCCGGTTTTCCCGCTTTTATGGTGGCAAAAAAAAAACATAAATATGATGCCCACAAGCATCTGTGAATTAAACCCAAAGTGTTTCCCACCCAATCAATCGTTGTCCGACGGCGTCTGGTTTTCCCTTTTCACGACACAAATCCAAGTTATCAGACAAACCGAGCACATGACAGCTGATCTTAAAACCTTTCTCAACTCTTACTACAGTCGCGGCGTTTTGACGAGAAGGCAGGTTTTTGACTCGTTTCCTTCAAAACAACGCAGGAATGCACTTCCCGCATGGCAACTTCCGTCCACAGCCCCAGACGGGAAGTGCGCACGACGCGCCACCTCCACGCCGTGACGTAACATAGTTGAGTTCTTGTATAAGCAGGTTCTGGTGTGTAACGAACGAGCGTCCAATTTTTAAGCTACACAGGAGGACTTTGTGGAAATTACTTTTATTACAAGAGGTTTCCCGGGCACCAAGTTCTGGTTTGATCACAGCTTATTATTATCGCCTTACTTTCATTCGAATCGCCATAGTCGTACAAGTGACAATCTTATGCCCCTTTTAAGTTATTGGTGACGTACAGGGCCATTTTATGGTAAAAGGTTCTGGGAAGAGGCGGCTAGTTGATCTGCAGCCTCGTTCAAAGCGATGCCCACATGGCTCGGGACTCGGAAAAACTTAGTGTCATTCCCACCCGCGAGTCCCCGTTGTACCTTGGCCCGTACGAGTTGAGTCAACTTATTTTTGGTTGGTGTGACGGAACATACTGCAGTGAGAACACTTTGAGAGCCTACAAAAAGAATGGCTTTCATCTCTTTGCTCTTGATTATAAAGTCAGATGCAGCCGGAACACGATATAGTTTAGCAGTGGAAATGCTGGCGACATTGTTAAGCCGAGTCTCATGGGTAAACGAAGTTGCATAAACAGCGGAGCCAACATACATTAAGGACTTCGACCATCAGTGCAAAACTGGCAGTAATGTTTGCATTTTTCTAGCTGAGCTGGGAATTCCTGCTCTAGAATGAGTGGGAAGACGTTACGTTTATTATATTCTGTAGAACACCAAACACAAGCTACAGGCTTGATGTCCCATGGGGCAGCATGACATTCATTTTCTAGTAAATAGATATTCTCAAGAGGGAGGTTAAGGGAGAGACGGAGGTTCTCATAACGGAGACTTAAGGGTCGAAATTTAGACGGTCAGACGACACGAATCCTGCAAAAATCGTCAAAATTGACGCGTCGGCTTCAGTATTGACGATTTTTGCACAAGTCGAATCGTCAGACGATTTCTGTGGGCAAGCCAACTTCACGACTTTTCTCCTCGCGTCCTCCACTTTTCATTGGCGTCGGTGCTCGTCAGACTTGACGTCATACGCCACCTGCCACTGGTGTTCTCCCATGGCTCGCTGGCCTTGCTTCCGCCGTTGCCTCGGCAGGAAGGCCAAAGAGGTCCGGCCTCGGGTGGATTTGAGAGATTCCTGTGTCGTAGCGTGCGTTTTGGTGTCATTTTATTTTCCGCTTTCGGAACCTGAAATAAGGCGGAGGCCTTGAGCGATTGACCCACAACGAACAGAGCGTGTGGGTTGCTCTCCGGGCCCACGTGATGAGCACATCAAGGCCACCGTGGAAGGCACGGGCGAGATTTGACCAAAACAAACTTTCCCCCCGACAAAAAAAAGAAAACGGCCCGGAGCGGAGCGCCGAGCGATTTGTCGGAGTCGAGTCGCCTGACGATTTCTCTACTGTCCTGTGTGGACAGGCCTTTAAGCCGTAGAGCAGGGGCTGTCACGCACGACTGTAGTAACGCGGCGAGCCGCGGGAGAGTACTACTGGATCACTCGGGCTCGTTCAAACTCGACGATTTTCCGTCCGGTCAGGGGTTATGACAGTGCGCCGAAACATGTCCCATCCAATAAGGGCTAGATAGAATTCCATTCGGTACAGGCCCCGAAGCCCTCTCAACCAATCGGACGGACAAAACTTCAGCTCCCAACGACAGGGCCCACGGCTAGAGCCCAAACATTGAGACATTGGCCTTTGTTTGTTTGTGGTCGGAAAGAATAGACTGACAGCGATGATTCCAGCGAAAATTGCCAGGACGTGCCCCGCGGGGAAAGCCGTCCGTCGGTGTGTGAGCATTAGTAACGTTAAAAGCGATAGATAAACGGAGAACTTACCAGACACAACATACATGGGTCTCGAGAACGCAACTGTAGCGAAAGATCACACCGGATACCCAGAAATATGGCGACCCGATGCTGCGTCTACGCCACCGCGTGAACCTCTGACGCGCTCGGGACCCCCGCAGCCAGCCCCCACAACCACTGGAAGATGATCCGCGGTCTCCGTTGTCGTGGCTTGCGCCCGAGATGCGCGTCCACGGCCCTTCGTATATGATTATAATCCAATTAAATGCAAAGGTGCAAGCGAGCTGGACAAGAATGACGAAAATAATCCCTGGAGAAGGGATTATTGCACCTTTGCATTTAATTGCATTATAATCATAACCTTAAATTGCAAGCTTCACCCTTTATGGTGTTATACTGGTGGCGGCTGATAAAACCCGTTTGCTCTACTGACGTCTAACCCCTGGTTAGCTCAGTCGCGTGAGCGCTCCACCTGTAATGGAGAGGTCCCGGGTTCGATACCCGGACCAGGCGGATTTTTTCGGTCGCGCACCAGTCACCTAGCTGTGTTGGGAGATTTGTGTTTGTCCTTTGTCCCTCTTGTTCCCCTTCTCCAGGGATTATTTTCATCACTTCGTATAGTTTACAAAACACCTTGCCCATTTTGTAAGCTAAGGTTTGCATGTCTGGATGCCTCGCCCTTTGGCGTAGGGGAAGGACTTTTAGAGCTCAGCTCTTACGGGCCCGTTTCCATGTGGAGCGGCGTCGGCGTCAGCGTGACCGTGCGCCTTGCATTATGAGACGTTTCCCCGCTAAATTGGGGGTAATATTTTCCGGCTAAATATAGCGGGGAAATTGACGTCAGGTTACCTCAACACAAATTCAGTTTCCCCGCTAGATTTAGCGGGGAAAATGACATCACGAATCCGTGTCACGTCCCCGGCGGCAGGAGGAGGAGGGGCATTCTTCCCCTACCCCCGTACCCTCCCTTCCTCCTCCTTAAGAGCCTTCGCTCTAGTTTCGCATTACAGACATTTCTAAACGCCTTTCATTTTCCCTCGTCGGTTTCGTGCACACGGTGCCACTGTGAACATCGCGTGCAAACGCAAGCACTGTGGCAGGGGCGTTTCCGTGATGCTTTCACAGCTTTCGATTGGCTGCGATGGCTCGGAGCGTCTATAGTCGGCGACAGATGAAGAACGAAGTGGAAGCTCCTCCCACCTCTTTCCACTTTAGCAGAACGAACGCTGGAGAGGAGGCGACCTCCTCTCCACCGTTGGCTCTGCTGAAGTGGAAAGGGTGGGAGGAGCTTCCACTTCGTTCTTGACCTGTCGCCGGCTGTTGACACACTGAATGAGTTACGCTTAGACTATCGGCACGCTGTTCCCCGACATTGTTGTGGGCGCCGCCATTTTGGTGCTTGTGCAGGCCAGACGCAACTGCCGATCATCAGGATTCAAAAGTGAGACTTCCTCAGCATTAGATTCAATGTTAGTGAGCTTACATAACATTGTTTCCCACTGTCGCGAACTGTTTAAACATTTGTGGAGGACGGGAAAGAGTTTCCTGTAATTTAAGATAAAGCTTCAGATAACTGGCCGCCATGATTTTAAGCTCCAAGATAGGTAAGTGCCGTTACTCTGAAGCGTAGCTTATCGAGTGGCACTAGTAGCGTCCTTTTGCAGTTCGGTGATCCTTGGCAGTAGTACGCCATCCACCTCTTCGCCCAGCTCTCTCTTCTTTAACTTCCCGCCCGTGAACCTCGGTGCGTATGGGCCAACGAGCACTTTTTAAGTTTTCTTTTTTCTCTTTCGCACTCTTTCTCGAAAAATGACATAGCGTGCCTGAAGAACCAAGTGCAAGAGAAGGCTAATTTTCACCACTCCAATTTTTATTTTGCCCCAGAAGAGCGCCATTTTCGTCTCAGAAGGGCACAGACATCCTCACAAAATTAAAAAATTCTTCCTTGATCAAGCTGCAATTGCAACAAATAGAAAAAATAAAAGAACGAAACCATTATGTAAATCCATCGTTTTTATCTCGTTTCATTTTATTTTTACATGAAATTAATGATTGTAATCAACAGCAAAACCAGCACGATATAGTAAATGGGTTAAAGTGATATATCAACATCCAAGTTTTCTCCCTATTATGCCTGAAGGTGATTTAGCTCTAGCAAACAAAAAAAGACAGCTGTAAAACTGTGCTATCAATGATACCGCGATATTGAAGGAGACGTAAAGATGCTAATTTTAATTTTAGCTGTTTCTTTTTTCTTGTCATTCGTTCGTAACAGAGGCAGGTTTTCAATTACACGACCTCAAAGTACAGGTGCACTGTGTCTCTTTTAACAAACCCATACTTTTTTATATCCTCCAGTTTCAACTCCTTCAAGAATGCACCACTTCTGTGGGAATTTTCGTTTGGCCTCTGCAACTCGTCACCATTGCATATACTCGTATCAACTGAGAAGGAAAGACTCAAATTTTCGTCCACGCTGTGAACGAATCTGACACTGACAGTCTTGCTGAACGGCCATTCCAGGCTTGAATCATAGGCTCCACGATATATTTCTAAATACATATAAACATTACAGAAGAAATCTTCCCATTCAATGCTGCATAAAATGGAGACGTTGTATCCGCTCAAATAGTGCCGGGGGCTCTCAGCAGCCGCGGCCTCATCCTCGAGTGCTTGTTCCTCCAGAGCTGTGAATCCCCTTAAGTACCAGTGGAATTTCTTTCCTCGGTGATCAGGATGCAGTCCTTGGCACGTGCTCTCTTTGGCGTGCAGCGAGCGTTCGGCGTGTGCGCTGAAGTTTCCGGCCTGACAACCCTTCTCCACTTCACCAGCGACGTCACTCGGTCTGTCCTCCGCAAGAGAAGGCTCTTTGATGTGCAATCTGGACAAGTGTTCAATAAGTGACACAGAGTGAGCTTCCAGCTGTTCTTTCAAACTCCTTTCTGCTTTTCTGACGTCCTCCCGACACAGGTTCAGGCTAGTTTGCAGACAGGACAGGTCTTCAGAGAGCCTGCCCAACGCTTCTTTGATTTCATTACTTGTCTGCTCGATGCTGTCGTATCCCTGTGTGGCACAGTCTGTGTCATCAACGGGCCCAACGGCGGGTAAGTGGCAACCACGTTTGCAGTGTCCCACAACCTCGCTCCTCAGTACGGACGCTTGACACCGAGGACAGGACACAACGTGGAAAGCGCACTCCATGCAGTGCTTCAAGACACTGCAAATGGGACCCTCGAAGTTGTAGCCATTGAACTTGTTCCAACAGGCCGCCTTGGTGAGACCAAAAACATCGAAAACGCGGGTTACATAAAGTCATGCCATGAAAATACAAACAAGGGCGTATCACTAAGTCGGAAAACGTTGACGGTACTTAATTAAACAAGGGGAGCTGGAGAACTTTTGTACTTTCAGATCTTGGTAACACTACTCACAATGTAATGTGACAATACTTCGCGATGTTTGCAGTACGGTCGTAGTGCTAAGCACCTCTACATATTCCCAATCTGAAATCTATGGAAATGCATGCTCAACAGCAAACATAACACAACGCTGCCAACGTATGCATCACCGGTCATGCTGTTTTTTTTTATATTTTTTAAATAACTAGTGTGCGGCAATTATTTAAATAGTTTCTGTTACCGTTGTTTATCATTTAACTTATTAGGAACATCGCTTATAATCGGTATAGAGCATTCGGTTCCCAGATATGCAGCTTGCGAACTTTGGGGTTCGTTATCCCGTAGCGAAGAACAGCATTCTCTACTTCCTACAGAATCTACTCATACCTACTATGTAATAACGCTGCTTGTAATTGGCCGATCTCGGGCATCCTCGACTGCAGTGAAGCCACACTTTAGCTATGCTTACCGCGATATTTCGGCGTAGTTAGGCTAAATCCAGATATGCATTTATGTCATATACTTTGGTTTTGCTACCGCCATGATTTTAGTGATACAGAAGCAAGTGCTTTAGATATACTGAACGTGCTTTAAGAAATATGTAATTTTACAATATCCGGAAACAAAAATGGGAAAGGGAAGAAATCATACTAAGCAGAAAGTAAAAACGTCCCTATAAAAACTTATGCGGTTTGTCCAATGAACCTATTTGAATTTATATAACTTGTATAAGGCATACATAAGTACCTATATTATAGTTTCTTTTTTTTTAACATTTTTTTTTTTTTACTGGGGGAGAATGTTTGTGAAACCATTGCTAGCTGCGACACATGAACTCATGCTCTCTTGATTACTGGTAATCCAGGGGGGTTTGTGTTACTGATGGCAACTTTTTTTAATAATGTTAATCGTTTTAATGTTTCCTTAATTATGATTTCTTTGTGTGCCGCGCCAAATCCGACAGATGTCGGTTACACGAAGCATAGCGCAGAGAGGTAAGTGCGAAAGTCGACGTGTTTTGGTAAGTAAAACTTTTGAGGAGGAAAACTTAAGCCCACATTTTAGTTTAATGTCAAAGAAGAAAACTAAATTACTATTCTACCTTCAATAATCAAGAATCAAGCACAGCCGAAGCTACAAGTACGAGGATGATAAGTTGAACGGAGCTTTCACTTGTACGGGTACGCGTGGGCAGCATGAGAGCTCGGAATGGCTCGACTCTCGCGGCTCTATTTTTTACTTTGCTCGTATTTGTTTAATGAAACCAAGGTAGAGGTTTTATACTCCAATGTAGTTACCACTGGAATACAAAAGCCAAAAAACCTAGCTCAGCACTCTCGCAGAACAGGTCAAGTAGTGCCTCAATGCAATGATCTCAATCAGAAATACTCACTTCCTTTTGCTTATAATTCACACAACAAACATGACATTAGCACTTACCCGGCGTTTGGCTAAAAAGCCCACTGAAAGGTCGATTCGGGAGCAATCATCCTCGCCGAAGGATTCCTGATCGATGGGACAGATGCTCTCTTGCCGAGAGCACTCCTCGTGGCAGTCAGAGCAGAGCGTGTGGCCACAGGAGAACCTGATGGCTTTGAGGGACACGAGTCCACACAGTGCGCACGCGCTGTGTGCAATGGCGGGCTCCTGGAAGAGGATGGGCCTCCAGTCCAGGGCGTCGGAGAATCCGGAAATGCAGAAGGACCTCATCTTGGATGAGCCACCGTCGAGCCGGCCTCGGGTCCTTCTTCGATTAGGGGGCTCGAACCTACGGAATGGAAGGTTCTCGTTATATCAACATTACGATTAGCTTAATATTTTATTGATTGATTGATTATTAAGCGCAAAAATAAACGTAGGCCTTGCTGCGCCAAAGAAACTGTTAAAAGAGTCTATAGTGAATGAAAGGAATTACTATGCAGAAGATTTATAACTGGTTAAGGTATCCTGTTTTTTTAAGAAAATCTCGAATGTGATGAGAGGGGACTAGAGGTTCATCTCCCAGCAAGAAGACTGGATGAAATGGAAGATATCCGGAATGTGACGGGAAACTTGTTTGACGTTCTTGATCAAAGAATTTGCAGTGCCATAGAATGTGCATTATAGTTAGCAATTCACCACAATGCTCGCAGAATGGCATGTCCTCCCCACAGAGAAGATGTCAATGGGTCTCACGTGAATGCCCAATTCTCAAACGAGACATTAAACTTTACGGCGACGGCCTCTATGGTGCGAACTCTCCCATACCCCCAAACGTGGTTTGACAACATGCAGCTTATTATATATTTCTTTGTCCCAACCTAGCTGCCAGGCGTTATAAATTGTTTTTATTAGAACTGGTATAAAATCTTCTTGAGGCAGCCCAACGAGTGTTTCCAGAGTACAATTGACAGAGGCGGCTACCCTATCCGCCTTTTCATTACCTGAAATTCCCACATGGCTTGGTACCCAGCTTACAAAGTGTTCTGGCTTTCACAAAGTGTTCTGAATATACAGCCGAACCGACAGTGTGTGGAGTTTTTGCACCATCAGTGAAGAATTGTGCATAGTCCTTATACTTACACTCTAAGAAAAAATGACTACCCTGGGTAATCAAATGGCGCTTTGGAGGCTTTGACTACCCCAAAAGGCGAGTTACTAGCGTTTGGTCAAAGTGACGACCCCAAACCGCTGTGGAATAACCGCCTTTTTGCAGATGACGACAGTGGTGTGGTCACTTTCGAATCCGATATTCACGTGCAGGCAGTCGTAAATGATATTAGTAACTTGGATAACTACTGGAAGACTGTATATGATATGCTTCCTTAGCTTTCGTGATCTTTTAAGATCCGCCAAGATCACATCTGTCGTGCAATTCGCGTAAATTGGTGGAATAAACATTTTGTCAGCGCGAGCAGCAACACTGGTCTCGGCAGCCGTGGACCGTGGTGGGGTGTAGCTGTGGCGTGATAACAACAACAAACGGCGTGGGTGTTTGCCGAACTGAGGTGAGGATGTCTTTCTGCCCTATTTTATTGCAAAGAATATAAAAAAAATGATTAATTGTATATCTGATCGTGTCGAATAATTGAACAATGGGACCGAAGATCGGCAGGGTAAACATGCTCAGAGGTATGTGACTGTGTCGCCCGTACTGTTTTCATCAATCTCGGACTGGTTGAATTCCTGAGCTGCACCCGTCGTGGTTGTGATCTTCTGGCTGTACGTACGTAGTGCGCAAACTTCCCAATTCAGTAGCAGGTTGAGAGTCAGTGGCAGCGTAGTAATTGGCTTTTACTAGGTTGTTGTGCCGTCACGAGCGCTATTTGTGCTTTTACAAGCGCCAGCGCGAGCCCGAACTTGCGCCTCTTTCACCGTTTGCGTTCTTCTGGTTTGATGTTCTGCTCTATGATTTATTAAACCTAAATCTAAAGGTCAATCGCCTCCGCCTCGTCACCCATCAGGACACCCCATAGCGCTGCCGCTCTACCGGCCCTTTTTGGACGTCTCCTGCTGCCAACTAACAGCCGGATCGTCGAACCTCCATCATCATCGCCTCTCCACCAGAGGATCACTACATTTTGGTGCGTCAGCTACCACTATATTTCGGCGCGTCACCTACCGCTATATTTTGGTGCGTTGGCCGAGCCTGTCGGCCCGTCCCGTTTTTTCGACTGTTTAACTCTTTTCTGGGCACAAAAAGAGCCCCCGCGGTTTTTCACAACGTTCTTGCGCCCGTGCTCGTTCAGTTTTTTTTTTTTTTTTTTTTTTTTTTTTTTTTTTTTTTTTTTAAGGGCAGTATATAAGTTTTTGAGGTTCTTTGCAGTGTTCCAACACATGTCTTCCTTCAGTTCTTTTAGGACAGTAAATAAGCCCCTGATGTTCTTCACAGTGTTCCAACGCCCGTGATTGTTCAGTTTACCAGTCTGCCTTGCAAGACGGGGCCTTTCAAACCTTCTGATCTTTTCCCCTTGGCCGGTCGTACTGCTGTACCCGGTTTTGGACTTTACGAAATTTCACTGCATTGAGACATGCTGCCCTATACTCCGTTCACCCTTAAGCTGAGACAGAGCCATATATGTAGAAAGTTTGGCCATTCGTTGGGAAGTATAGGAGACAAATGAGGAAGTGCCATTGGCCGAAAGCAGGCTGGGCGTGTTCCAGGGCGTCTTCACAAATTCGAATGTGGCCAATCAGAAGCCGGAAATAATACCCTGGCGGTGGTTGCGAGAAAAAAAATTCATAAGTGCGTCGGAGTAACTCTCGGTGACTGAAAATGTGGTACATGTGATGTTTCAATCACGGTCATCCGAAATTATGGTGAAAGAGCGTGCGACTGGCGGAACGATCGACATAATCCGTGCGCCGAAGGCCGGGAATCTACCGTCTGAGCGGTCACACTCTCCCCGAGCAAAACAGAGTTGACCGGCACATTTGTTTCTTACATCCTTCTGCATGATCATGATTGTAACATCCTGTGCACCCTATTTTAAACCATGAAGTGTCACTACACTTCACACTTACGTGCTTATTAAAACCATACACCAACATATACCTATGATTAAAACAGTTTCTCGCTACTACCGCTAGGGATTCTTTTAGGCTTCTGGTTGGTCAAGAGAGAATGTCAAGCCCACTTTCTGCTTCTGGTGCATGCCCAGGCTCTGCCTGCGCCTAGCACTGACCAAACGCTCTCTAAACACGGCTCTGAGCTGATACTGCAGTGGGAACTGCTTGACCGCCGAACTAACCAGCCGCCTCCCTTTCATCACCTGACCCAGTCCTCGGTCTGTGGATATGAGCGGGAGCGTGATGACGTGGTGAAAGAGGGATGTATGACTGGTCCATTGAAGACGTAGCTTTCACCACAGTTTCAGCTTAGGGATGAATGGAATATAGTCAGCGCGCAGGATGGCCACCCAGCTCCGGCCTCCCAAGAAGTTGGTGTTTACAATACGGCTGCTGTCTTCATTGGCCTCTTCGCTCTAAACCGTATGCTGAAGAACGAGCGTGCACCAGCATGTGACACAAAGCTTTATCGATCGCTGCCCGGTTGCGGACGAGCTAGCATCTCCTCCGTTCTAGACGGGCGCTTTCGGTGAATCGCAGTGCTGTGAAATTAATTGTTTCTCTTTCGATTTTTCTTCTAAAAAACGTTTTTATCATAAATGCCTGTGACCACAACAGCCGCCATTAAGTCAACATTTTTCTCTGATTGCGACTATCTCAATTATGACAAACTTTCCTCGGATATGAACTTTTTCCAATATCATTTCTCATTGATCACTTGTGTGTATTAGAAGATAAGTGTTGTGTTCTGGTATTTTTATTATTGTAGTCTTCCTATACACCAACTCATGTTTACAAACAAACCGGCGCGCCCCTAGCGGACGCCACCGGCGCCGCGCATGCGCGGTGGATGGTGGGCAAGAAGCCCGCCGTCGCCCATAAACAAACCATTGAATTGCGTTGTTGTCGGCGTCGGTGGGAGTCCCCGTGCTCTTTTTCACGTTGGAATTGTTGATTCTACGTCCTCCTAACAATGTCTGACTACTTGAGCGGCTTCAGCAAAACTAACAAGGCAAAACTTTGCGTGAATAATGTGACGTGCGGCGATTCATTTCTCGTGGACGCCGCAGAATAGGCGCTAAAGCCTGACTCCCACGATGAGATTCTACTCGCTGTTTTCAGACGCGACGTTGATTGGACTGCAAAATCGTGGACCGTAGCTGAGATGGTGGATGTCGATACTGAAAACCGCAAGTAGAATCGGGCATTACAAGTCGGTGATGCATCCACTGGTAACAATAATGATCAACATCTTCTTGTATCTGTCTACACTTAGCCTACTTACCCCAACCAACCTTCAAAAGTGTTTTGAGGCCTGCACTTAGTTCTTATCGCAATTACCGGGTCAACGTTTGGTTTACGGGCCGCTGTCGTTTGAACGAGCTGACGACAAAAAGCAGCCAATTTTGAAAGAGCAGACGACAGTTCGAACGCATGCGTAATGGGGCACGGGCAAGAAGCACCGCGTCCCGCGTCGACAAACCACTCGAATGTCACGTTGTCGGCGTCTGTGTGAGTCTGCGTACTCTTTTTCGCGTTGGAATTGTCGATTCTAGGTCCTCATCGCAATGTCTTACCACTTTAATCGCCTAAGCGAAATTATCAAGGCTCGTTACGCCGCTAAACTTTCCGTAAATAATTTGACGTGCGGCGATTCATTCCGATGAACGCCGCAGAATGGACGCCAAAACCATGATGAGATTCTTCTAGCTATTTTCGGTAGCGACGTCGCTCGTGTTGCAAAAGTGTAGAAGGTAGCGGCGATGATCGACGTCGATACTGAAAATCGGAAGCGGGAACGGACCAAGCGTAACAAGTCGGTGATGGCCACCGGTACCAATGATCAACATCTCGTATCTACTGTTTACACCGAGCCTACTTAAGTTTTTTGAGGCCTGCAATTACTTCTTATTGCAATCACCGGGTCAAAGTTTGGTCTACGGGCCGCTTTTGTTTGAACGAGCAGACGACAAAAAGCAGACATGTTTGAAAGAGCAGACGAAAGTTCGAACGATCAGGCGGCCGTGTGAATTTGAAGACGCACTGAACCCGTGGGTGGTTCGGACAACTTGACGATTTTCTCTCGTTTATGTTGGAACAAAGCAAATACATCTGGCGACCACAAGGTGTTGCCCGCACACGCAATCGTAGTTCGACAGCGTCTGGTTTGCCCTTTTCACGGCTACTATCCACGTTCTCGGACGAACGGAGGGGGCAGAAAC